CGTCTTTGTCTATCCACGCTGGAAATTCTCAAGTTTATAACCAAAATAGTCTCAGAGACAACTTTTAATTTAGGTTGATCTCCTAATTCTGAGAACTCGTAAGATTTTTAATCGTGCATACTCATTATCAGCCTTCAACACTTAGAACCTGAACTTACCAGATCCTCCTCTAAAGTTACTTCCTGGTCCTGGTCCAAAATTTCCACCACCACCACGTGAATCTCCAAAACCAAAGTTGCCTACAATAAATGCCCCGGTTAGCAGGAAGCACTTCCACAAATGAAAAGAAAGAAAAACCAATTAATGAAGTTACCTCCTCTTCCACTCCTAGAACTCTGAACTTCCTGCATTTCTTGTCTAGACAAAGCCTTTCTTACTTCTGCATTATGACCGTTGATGGTATGGTATTTCTGCACTAGAATGGGGGGAAAAAGACTCCATTAATTCCATAGTGTAATAGTAAAGCAACCTAAAAAGTTCATCTTTTAATGAAGTTATAGATGTTCACATGCCCAAAACGTAATGCATGTTAAATCATCTACCAACATAGCACCTATAGACACTTACATACGATTTTATCCACAGGATCATGGTCATCAAAAGTAACAAAGCCAAAGCCTCTTTTCTTTCCAGACTGCCTATCGGTAATTATCTCAATGGTATCAATTTTTCCATACTCCTCAAAGTAATCTCTAAGGTGATGCTCCTCAGTATCTTCTTTAATTCCACCAACAAACAGTTTCTTCACAGTTACATGAGCCCCTGGTTTTCCAGACTCCTAGAATAGTAGGGGAAAAGAAAGTCATCGTGACAGAAAATCCTTCAAGTATGATTAAAAGAACACCACGTTTGCACCACAGATGGCTTATAATCACCTTATGATAAAATACCAATTAAAGGGATAGCTTCGAAAGTCTTTTGAAAAATAAGTTACTTCAAGGAGGTAAAAGAAAAGAAACTCCAAACCACTTTTAAGAAAACGAAATCCTTTCAAAAATTACTCATCTCTCACATGACAGCATCTCCCCCCATGTATGACTGCACCACGAAGTTATTTCTGCTTACCTCTCTTGCTACAGCACGTTTTGGCTCAACCACTCTCCCATCAATTGAATGAGGTCTTGCAGCCATGGCAGCATCAACCTCAGCCATGGATGAGAAAGTTACAAAACCAAATCCTCTTGATCTTTTGCTTGCAGGATCTCTCATTACCTTTAAAACCAAGAAGTAAACTTTAGGAAATGATCTCATTGTTATAAATTGGAATAGCAACTACAATAGTTTTATAAGCAGCACAAGCTTTACTTTCTGCATTATTCAATGAAGACAAAGCTAAAAAATAGTACATTCAAAATTCCATAATTTACGTACCACACAGTCTGTAAGTTTGCCCCATTGCTCGTAGTAGTTTCTCAAACTTTCTTCTGTGGTTTCAAAGCTTAAGCCACCAATAAAGAGTTTACGGAACTGTTCCTTTTCTCTCTGCAAAGGAAAACACCATTTCAATTTTTATTTACATTTTCTCTTTGTATGCAGGAAATTAAATTCTTAAATATGAGGTGACCTGCTGGCAGAGTACCTTTTTCCTCTCCAAAGGAACAGTTTCTAAAGTTTTCTGGGGGGGAAAAAAAAAACTTACATCAAATTTAAACCATATGTTAAACTGCATATTTGTGTTACACCAAAAAAAAAAAAAATTGCTTCAGCTGAACTATACAAGTTTCAAAATCATTAATGCTTGATCTAAGTCTACTTGACATTAAATTATCTTCAACAAATTTACTACCACTTGATTTAAAAAAACTTTCTGATGGAACCTATCTGTCCTGTGGTCACTGCAGGGTTACTAAAAAAATTCTAATAAACCTTTTCACTCAATACCTAAAAACATAGTTGTTAGCTTTTTAATCCAATTCAGCTTGTGTTAAATATAAAAAATAACTCTTGATTCCTTAAGACCCAAAGTCTACCATTTATTTCAGAATTCATTATCTGAAAAGTAACACATTTCTTTATCCTTAACTGCCCCCTCTGGTGGCGATTTTAAATTCTCGACCAAAACTATTAAATGTGATTTAAGTTTCTCTGTAATGACTCCTAAAAAAACTAAACATTCAAGATATGTACAAAGTACCTTAAAAACAGCTTCTTCTAACCCCCAAAATTAAATTTTATGACCAGCAATACCTAAAAGTTTATGAAACTTAGCATACTGATTCTTTGTTGGGCACTTAATGTCACAGTACAATCTGAATCACTACCCAGCTAACAACCCTATGTACACTGAAATGCAGTACATTGACCTGAAGTAAATTCATTAAAGATAATCAACTCATTAAATACATTGAAAGCTTAGTCTTAGTGAACTTAAGCGGCCATCTGGTAACAGCACAAATGTCTCACATTTTACACAGGAAAAAAATTTGAGCTAAAATTTTTTATTATCTGCAAAACAGCAAGCAAATATGCTGCACTTAACAGCCCTTCATTTTGAATTAAAAAATGAGCCAAGTAGGTAATTACCTAATAAGGTAGTTAGGTTTAAAAAATTAAAAATCCATAAACTAGAATATGTAATTGACATCTAGGACCCCAGCTATGAATGCACAATGCAACGAAAAAGGTCACATGTAATTCTGAATCCAAGAATTTTCAATTTTGTTCCCAGCAAGCAGTACTACTGCTCAACCCACAATATGGGGGTTCTCCCAACTGCCTAACTATATAGTGGTAGGAACCAATTCAGTCAGATTTTTTTCCTGCATAGTTAAGATTTCAGGATTCTGAAAATTTCAAAAGAAAAACTGAAATTATCAAGTCTTTTTCAAGTGGTTATAAAGCAAGATTGATAACTGGACTTTCCGGCTTTTTTTTTTTTAATTCTAAATATCAGTATACGAGACGTTTCCCCAAACCCAAATAAATTAGAGAGAAAATGTACATCTACAAGTCTTACAAATCAGTAAAAGCAAAAACTCATTACTTACCTCACATTTTTTTTCCGAACTTACCCGATGTCCACTATCGATTATAAGCAATGTTATTGTATAAACGTGCTTAGGGTCAAAGTAAGTTACCAGATAGACCCCCTTCGCTTGAGCCCTTATGTTTATCAATATAGTGATTAATCATGATTGCAAACACAAATAAGAAAAGCAAATGACAAATTTCAAAAACATAGTGGGCCAGATCTTACAATTTTGTACATAAATAAACACGCATTAAGGGACTGAACTGTTTTAGTCACAGTACAACTAAGGGTAAACATTCCTGTAATCCCCTGCAAAGTTCATCTACAAAAGATCTACGGTTTTACCCAGCGAACACTAAAAACTGACCAGCAAAAATACTTCTTAAAACACGAACTTTTACAGTTTAAATAGAATCCTTCAAAGCAATAATGGATTCTAAAATACCCCTCTCGCTTAAAAAAAAACTCCTTCCTCACCGCTACCCTAGTAATTGGTACGATCTTGAGTTTTTTATTTCGAGCTTCCTGCGATTCAGTTACCCTTTTAAACATCGCAGATCCAGTTAAAACCGTTACGCAAGGAAAAGAGTCGGGAAACTTAAAATGGTTTCTTTACAATATGGCTCGCATCAAAAGCGGCCCAACGCCCTAGGTTGTAATACCTCGTCTTAAACCGTGGCTGCAAGCCCTGGAGAACCGCCCCCCCCCCCGCCCGCTCTTCTGTGTGGCTTCTGAACGCAATGGCGCCATTTCATCGAGGGGAAGGCAGAGCGCCTTTAATGAAGTGCGCAGGACTCTAAAACATCCAACCTCACAAAACACGCCAAATCCACCTCGAAACGATATGAAAACAGCCCGAAAAGGAAGAAAAATAGTTAACCGCGCCTAAGCTTTGATACAGGAATCAAACTAGTAAAACTGAGACAGTTAAAAGAAAAACGCTGCGAAAGAGGAGAGACATGAAAATGGCGGACGCCAAATCCGGTTCCCGGGAGGGGGAAGGGAAGCTCCGCAGACTCGCTCACGAGGACCCCATGCCCGCCGAAACGCCCAACGCCGAGACGCCGGGGCCTCCAAACCAACGTGCTTTACAAAGGGAATGAGGATTCCCGCCTCCGCGCCCCACTTTTACTGAAGAGGGCTGCGTCCGCCATGTGAAAGTTCCCATCCCCCACCCCCCCAGTAAAGGGAAATGGCGACGGGAGGCTGAGGGTGGGGAAGGAGTTCGTACAATCAGGCCTCCGCTACCGACCCCTCTCGAAAACAACTCCGCTATCGACCCCTCTCGAGAATAACCGCTACTGAAGCGGCCCGATTGCCTGCCGCTCTCCCGCGGAGACAGCTGGCCGACTACCACCGAGGCGCCAACGGCCTCGCCATGCCCTTTCCAATAACTCATTGATTTCAAACCCGTTACCTCCATCGCGGACTCAGTCGCTTCAGCCCGATTTCCCGCAGCCGAGCGAGATGAGAGAGATCTCCGCGGACGAACGCGAGCCGGACTCGTCCTGGCGTTGTAGTGAAAACTGCCACTGCTCGAGAAACAACACCGCTAGGAGCACCTCCACACGGGACCCGGCGCTGCTGCTACTGCCGCTAGGGCCGCTGCCGCCGCTTTTCTAGAACCTTCCCCCCGACTAACGCGTCTTTCCTACGTCAGGCCGTTGCGTAAACGCCCTAACCGCCGCCAATGGCGGGAACGCTCTTCCCCCTCCTTACGCCAACCACGTACCCCTCCCCCACTCGCGGCCGGAGACAGCGCTTGACGTCACTTGCGTAAATGGGGTTAGTGAATTGCGGAAGGCTCGAGGCTTGCGTGTTACTCCCTCCCAGAATTAGGTCCAGCCCCCCGCCTCAGCGCAGGGCAGGTAAGAAACGGTCGCGCAGTTTGAAATTAACGCTGACGGGCGGAGCTTAATCTGCGGCCTGGAGGTCCAGCCCCCTCAGTCAGGGAGGTGGTCCCTGCAACTACGCCGTTGATTGTCGTCTCGGTTCTCCCGCCACAAAAATCTTCCCCCTTCGTTTTCCTCCCCCGCACAGGACTAACTCAGCCCCTTCCGGAAACACTCAAAACGCTTTCTAGTCAGCAAATTATTGTTAACGCTGCGCCGACCTAACGCTTGCCTTTGGGGGCTGACCGTTCGGGGTCGGGAGAGGTGTTTCCAGCGAGTGACCCGAGGAAGGGCACACGTTTTTAACTCCCAATTCCCACTCCTTTAGCGTTTGGAGGTTCCCAACCCCAGGGGCAAGGAAGTGGGCGGAGTCGGGTTTTGGCGCCTCCAGCTGCCGCTGGATAGCAGAAAAACATCGGTAGAGAAGACTCCGGTCACGGTCCTCGCCCCTCCCCGTTCCCTCCCCTCGGCCGACCACCCGGCGCCACGCCGCGAACGGTAAGTGCCGTGGTCGGCGCCGCCCTTCCCCCCCAACCCCCCGCGGCCCCACGTTCCCAGCGGGCGTGGCGCGCGGCCCCTCCCCCGCCAGGCGCGCGCGCCCTCCGCCCCGCCCCTCGCGGCCGCCCGGCGTGGGCGGTGCCTCCCCCCCCCCTCGGGCGTCCCCGCGAGCAGCTCCGCCGCCCCCTCCCCCTCGGATGTGGCTTCAGCTTAAGGCGCGCAGGGCCGAAGACGCTGCAGATTCGCGACCCGGAGCAGCTCGGAGCTGGTGAAGTCGGTGTTTTTCTTTCTCTCTAGCTCTCATTCGGTAGTGGTGCTTAAAACACCACATGCACCCCGGGGCCCCCCTATTTCCCATTTCCCACCCCTCTGCCGGACCCTGCGTTGGGAGCTGCAGGGAGGAGGGGAGGGTAGAATGGAGGCGTCGCGGCTGGCTTGGTGCTGGCTGGGGACCTATAATACTGGGTGGACAGCAGTGTCCCTGAGAGGGTAGAGGGTTATGGCCACAGGCGCCTTATTTCTAAACAAAGCGCATTTTCTTCCTCTTCTCTCATCCGCGATCAGGATGAGGGGCCGCCCTCCCCTCCTCCACGCGGGGTGTGTCGGAGCCTAGGGCCTCTGGGAAGGGAGCTGCGTCTCCCCGCAGCCATGAGGCCTGGCGGCGCGCGGCCCGCTGTGCCAGGCTGTGCGTGTGCTCCGTTACGTGGCCGCCGCGGTCCGGTGGCGCAGTGCCCTTCGGCCCGGCGCCGCGGCCTTTGTTCCTCCCCGCGGATGAGCTGACCACGAGGCCGCAGTCCCAGTGGGGGGCGGGCGCCCAGCGCTGGGGCTTCAGGACGCTAACATTAAAGCCGGGACGGGCCTGAGTGTCAGGAAATGGGACTGGAACGTCTCGTGTTTCCCTTTAGTCGTTTACTGATTGGAAAGGTTTCTGAAAGAAGTAAAGTCAAGATTATACTGGAGAATCTTTGGACGTTCAGAAGTATAGAGAAAAAATTCATGGTAGTTTACTGTTGTGAGTTGTTTGGGTAATTCTTCCTAATTATGAACCGACAAGTTTGTCCTCTTTAAAGAAATTGATTATTTACCTTATTTTATAAATGGGATTTAAATTGGAAAAAATGTTTGTCCAGCATTTCTCACTATATAAAGCTGTCTCAGGTTTCAGGGTCCTTTTAGTAAAGTATGTGCCTGTTTAAGTCGGTGGTCACTAATAGTTTGTGCAGAAGTTCACATCTTCTCTAGTTTGTATAGACGTGTGTGAAACGTCTGATATCTAAGTGGGGGTTGGAATCCAAACAAAACTTGTATTTAGCTACCTTTTTTATGTCATGAAAACTTCGTTTTAACTGTCATGCATTTTTCTAGTAATAGCTCTTCAAGTCTGCAATAAAAAATGGCCTCCAATAAAACTACGTTGGTAAGTTAATGAAAACATACAATATATAAGGACTTAACTCAAGTTTTTTTCCCCAAAAATTATAACTTTGCATCTCTCTGGTTGAGAAATTTATCTCTGTGCTTTTCCTAGCTCTCCCAGAATTATGTAGAAGAGAATTAAGGACAAAAATCGAAAACATTACACTGAAATACTTAACTGATTTGGCTTAACAGTGTCTTAAAACTAATCTTAGGGCTCGGTGCCTATGGCTCAAGTGGCTAAGGCGCCAGCCGCATACACCTAAGGTGGCAGGTTTGAATCCAGCCCAGGCCTGCCAAAACAACAATGATGGCTGCAACCAAAAAATAGCCGGGTGTTGTGGGCGCCGGTGGTCCCAGCTCCTTGGGAGGCTGAGTCAGAAGACTCGCTTGAGCCCAGGAGTTGGAGGTTGCTGTGAGCTGTGAAGCCACGGCACTCTACCTAGGGTGACAGCTTGAGGCTCTGTCTCAAAAAAAATAACCCAAAACTAAGGGGCTGTACAGGGTGGCTCAGGCCTGTAATCCTAACACCATGGGAGGCTGAGGTGGGTGGATTGCCTGAGCTCACAGGTTGCAGACCAGCCTGAGCCAGAGCCACATCTCATCCCTAAAAACAGATGAGCGTTTGGGCAGGTGCCTTTAGTCCCAGTTCCTCCGGGAGGCTGAGGCAAGAGAATTACTTGAGCCCAAGAGTTTGATGATGCTGTGAGCTATGATGCCATGGCACTCTACCGAGGGTGACAAAGTGACACTCAGGAAAAATAAACTAATCTTAGGAAGACAACACAATCTGGATTTTGTTTTATCATTAAATAAAAATAAACCAATTTGTGTAACATGAAAAGAATATATTTCATAAAGGGGTAAGGCCTTTGTTGGTTGGCATAATATCCTTTAAAATCTGCTGAATTCTAGTGAAATCAAGTTTTTCATTAATGCCCAGTTTAGAGAATAGCTACTTTGTGCACCCTAGACCAGAGCAAAAGTTATTGAATCTTGCAAATTCTTTTAGTTACTTTGCCCTACTTTAAAATTGCTTACTAAAATAGGGATAATCTTAAATTTAAGGTATAAGTAATTTTTTAAGTGGCCAGGGAACAAAAATACAAATATGACTAGGAAGGAAAGAAGACCAGATCTTGAGGGACTAGTTGTGTTTTCTCCCAAAAGTTTCTTAAACCCAAAGTTTACGTTCGTAGGCTTAATAAGTTACACAAATATCTACAGACATGTCAGGTTATAAGTTGAAAAAAAGAACACTGGAATATTCACATAAAAATCACGAAATTCATAGTTAAGGTTCCATAAAGGTGACCCATGGTGTTAATCGTGAGCACATAGAGGTGAGAATACTTAAGTAAAGCAAAGTATATGGTTTTGTGGTCTGTGTGTTCTGTCTTCTGGTTGCACACTAAAAAGGGCAAGTTGGTGATTTTTAATTTGAGCTGTCATTAGATTTATACTAGATCAAATACCCAGGAAAACAATTGCAATATGAAATGTAAAGCCTGTGTGGTGAGGCTGTGGTACAGATGATTCCCGTATACCATATATGTATAGGTAAAAGCCATCAATGGGAAAAGCACAAAGCATTTTCTGTCAGCTCTCAAAATGGAGATTCCATAACATGAATCCAAAATGTAGGTGACGGACTTTACTATTACCTGTCTTCTCCTTTACGTATTAGATGGGAAAGGAATTAGCTGTCCATGAGCCTTGGCAGATGAGCAAAAAGCAAACATGCTCCTGTTAGTTTATTTTTTGAGGCAGAGTTTTTACTGTCATTCTCCGTAGAGTACTGTGACATCATAGCTCACAGCAACCTCGAACTCTTGGGCCCAAGTGATTCTCTTGGCTCAGGCTGGTCTCTAACCTGTGAGCTCAGGCAATCCACTGTCTTGGCCTCTCAGAGTGCTAGGATTACAGGCCTGAGCCACCATGCCCAATCTTTATTTGTTTTTAGAGTCTCACTCACTTTCCCTGGAGTTGAGTGGTGAGGTGTCATAGCTCACAGCAACCTCAAATTCTTGGGCTCAAGAGATCCATCCTCTTGCCTTAGCCTCCCAAGCAGCTGGGACTACAGGCACCCACCACAATACCTGGCTAGTTTTTCTATTTGTACAAAATGGGGTCTCCCTTTGCTCAGGCTGGTCTCAAACAGTGCTCAGGCAATGCACCTGCCTGGGCTTTGCAGCTTGCTGGGATTACAGGTGCGAGCCACTGCGCCAGGCCCATAAAAACAGACTTTTGCAGGCAATTTGATAAGCTTTGATGTCTGTTTATTGGTATCTATTTTCTTGTATTGAAAAAGATCACAGATTAACCACTTCAGAAGTTTTATCTTAACGTTATATCCTTTTAATTTTTGACATTCTTGTTATTTTGTTAGCTTCCTGCCTCTGTAAACAGTAGCTGTTTTGTATTTTAGTTAGGATTGGTATCTAATAAATTTTATCTGTTCCGATTTCTCTTTGTTCCTCCCACTATCATTCTTAGTGTCCAGAGGCAAAAATTTATTTGACTAGGCCCACTTACTACTCAAGTATCTTGACTTAAGAGAATAGTAAGGCCTGACTTGGAAATTGTATCCAACAAAATCAGGTATTTGCTGCATTTTTTTCAATTCCTCGGGATTTTTTCTTCTGTGTTTACTCCTGTATGCTTTCATAGACTGAAATTATCTTTTTGTAGTCTTGAGTCATTGCTGTTACTTTACCTGCTTATATGCTTGTGGTGTAGCTTTGGTGACTGGGATATTTTTCTTTTTTATGAGCCATTTGTTTGGGGCCAGGAAAGGTGGCTCACGCCTTGTAATCCTAGCACTCTGGGAAGCCGAGGTGGGTGGATTGCTTGAGCTCACGGGTTTGAGACCAGCCTGAGCAGAAAGCAAGACCCTGTCTCTACTAAAAAATAGAAAAACTGAGACAAGAGGATCACTTGAGCCCAAGAATTGGAAGCTGTGAGTTATGATGCCACGACACTCTACCCAGGATCACAGCTTGAGACTCTGTCTCCTCTCCCCCAAAATATAAACTACTTGTTTTGAGATAAAAAGTATTTAAAATGCTCATTGCATTAAGGATTTCCCCCCCTTAATGTCTTCTGATTAGCCATTTAAGTTTTTTTTAATTTGCCATTTTCAGTCCTGCTGAAATGAATCTGTGTAAGTATTGGACATAGCTGGTTGTGTTGGTCTCTTCATAAATAGTGTCATATTGCAAAAGAGCATATATCTGGTTTAAAGTGAATTTTTTTGGCTACCAGCTTAGACTCCTTGAAAAAGCAGGAAAGGGATTTTTTTTCCACGTTAGAGAATTAAAATGCACCTGTCATTTTGGCCTCTTTAAATGATAGCATTATAGATTTATTCAGAGTAGTCATTAGCTACAGAGGTTATGGAAAAATAATATTTTGAGGCAGCACCTGTGGCTCTGTGTAGGGCACCACCCTTGTATACCAAGGGTGGTCGGTTCGAACCTGGCCCTGCCTGGCTAAACTGCAACAAAAAAATAGTCAGGCATTGTGGCAGGCGCCTGTAGTCCCAGCTACTCCGAAGGCTGAGGCAAGAGAGTCGCCTAAGCCCAGGAGTTGGAGGTTGTTGTGAGCTGGGACCCTATGGCACTCTACCGAGGGTGATAAAGTAAAACTCTGTCTCTAAAAAATAATAATAATAAAAAAAAATATTTTCCTTTTTAACTTCCCATGGTTGACCCTACAGTTGATATCAGAATTCCAAACCATGTTTTCAATCTGTGGTTATTTTTTCTTCTGTATCATTCAGTCTTCTAACAATATTTGAGGTGGGAAAGAGGGTCTTAACTGTCTTGGGGCTACAATTTTAACAAGTCTGTAAATACTAGTTACTCTCTCTTATGTATGCTCTTAATACTGTGTATATATTTGGTTGTTGCTGTGGTTGAATTGAGCGAATACTATACTTGGTCTCATATACTACCCAGAGATAAGACTGGGAAAAGGTAACTTACTTTCCATTGGTGTATTTGATTATATCATTTTGCTGAAGGGTGATGGATCTTAAGTATGAGCTAAACCAACAAAATAAAGAATTATTTTATTGTCTGTTGATTTTTATCTTGTCAGAAAATGTTTACTGTTGGATATAGAACTAAAAATTTGTGTTAAATACAACAATATGAGCAATTTGGCCTTTAAAATGTACTCAATTCAAGATGAATGTATTTCTTAACTTCCTTTTTGTTTTGTTTTAGCAAAAAATGGGAAAGAAGCAGAATGGAAAGAGTAAAAAGGTTGAAGAGGCAGAGCCTGAAGAATTTGTGGTGGAAAAAGTTCTGGATCGACGAGTAGTAAATGGGAAGGTGGAGTATTTCCTGAAGTGGAAGGGATTTACAGAGTAAGATACCTCAGTGGTTGTTTATTAAATGTTAAACTGCAGCTAAATGGCTTAAAATTTGTTTTTACCTGGCTCTTTTTTCCTAGAAATCTCTTTAAACATAAAGACATTTTTAATTTTAAGGTATTTTATTTGAAGTCTATTTAAAAAGAGCCAAGTTCTGGGTGGCACCTATAGCTCAAAGGAGTAGGGCACTGGCCCCATATGCCGGAGGTGGTGGGTTCAAACCCAGCCCTGGCCAAAAAACAAACAACAATAAAAAGAGCCAAGTTCTAGCCTAGTGCGGTGGCTCATGCCTATAATCCCAGCACACTAGAAGGCCCAGGTGGGGATTGCCTGAGCTCACAGGTTTAAGACCAGCCTGAGCCAGAGCAAGGACCAGTCTCTAAAAATAGCAAGGCATTGTGGTGGGCACTGTAGTCCCAGCTACTTAGGGAGGCTGGGACAAAAGAATCACTTGAGCCCAAGAGTCTCTGAGGTTGCTGTGAGCTGTGATGTTAGGGCACTCTACCTAGGGCAACAAAAGAGCCAAGTCCTTGCCTACAGTTGAAACGAAGCAAATTAAAGGGCAGTTTATTACCCTGGGAAGTTAAATTCATTAATTGTGATTGTAATTTACTATATAATATGTTTTAATGTAGTTAGATACTGTGCCAATTGGAATATCTAATCTACATCATTTCACTCTATACAGAAGGCACTAGAAAACACTGAAGCTATACAATATAGACTAGTCAGTCTTAAATAGAAGTACTCGTAATCTAGGTCTCATACTAAATTTATCATGTCCTTGGCAGTTCAGTATCCCTCTGTCTATTTACAATTAGTGTTCATGTTAACTCAATTTGTCTTTAGTTACAGAAGGCTCAGCGCCTGTAGCTCAAGTGGCTAAAGTGCCAGCCACATACACCTGAGCTGGAGGGTTCAAATCCAGCCCAGGCCCACCAAACAACAATGACAACTACAACCAAAAAGTAGCCAGGCATTGTAGCAGGCACCTGTAGTTCCAGTTACGGGGGAGGCCAAGGCAAGAGAATTGCTTAAACCCAAGACTTGGAGGTTGCTGTGAGCTATGATGCCACAGCACTCTACCCAGGGCAACAGCTTGAGGCTCTGTCTCAAAAAAAGAAAAAAGGGATACATCATTAGTTAATGCTTTTGTGAAGTGATTTAAACAAGCTTTTTGTATTTTAATGCTTTGCTGTTTAATTTTTATAAGTTCAGATTTTATTTTAAAACCCAATGGGAAAAGGGGGGGGGGTTGTACGTCTGGGACATTCAGGCAGTACATTTGAATTAAGACGATGTAGACAAGGAAAAAGAAAACTGTAAAAAAATAAATTTATCATGTCCTAATCACTAAGAAGTAGAACCTAGTAATTTTTGAAACTCATTAGTCCTTTGTGTTCCTTTTTACGAATTGATCTCTTAATTCTTTGTGTTAGCTATCTTGTAAATAACTTAAGCATAGAGAAATTCTATGTTCTTAAATCCTGTTTATTATGCTAATCTCCTTTGAGTTTTCTACCTGACACAACAAAAACAGGGAGCAAAGCTCCATAGGCAGTGACAGTTAAAAATGGATAGAGGCTTGGCGCCTGTGGCTCAAGCTGCTGGGGTGCCAGCCACATACACCTGAGCTGATGGGTTCGAATCCAGCCTGGAGCCCACCAAACAACGATGACGGCTGCAACCAAAAAATAGCCTGGTGTTCTGGCAGGTTCCTGTTGTCCCAGCTACTTGGGAGGCAGAGGCAGGAGAATCTTTTGAGCCCAGGAGTTGGAGGTTGCAGTGAGCAATCTCCAGCTCTTGCACTTAGGCGATTCTCTTGCCTCTGCCTCCCAAGTATCTGGGACTACAGGCACACGCCACAAGGCCCAGCTATTTGTTGTTGCAGTTTGGCCGGGGCCAGGTTTGAACCCACCACCCTTGGTATATGGGGCCGGTGCCCTACCCAGTGAGCCACAGGTGCCCCGCCCAGTTGACTATTTTTTTCAACCCGTGAGACATTAAAATCTACTAGTTTTTTATGTTGTACCCATCAACACATTTGGAAATGGACTCCTCATCTCTGAAAACTTAAGGTCACTAGTATGATTGAGAACTTCCCAGCGTAGTGTAATATATTAGGTGATGTAGAAAGCTATAAAGAACATAATACCACAGAACAGAGAGTCTTGCCTCCACCCTCCTTCACCAATTTAGATTTCCCGGTTTTGGACTCTTAGGCTATCAGCAGACCAACCTGATAAGTGCCAGTGTTAACACCTTTCCCAGTATCCCCCAGATGATTAACTTTATCTAGTGTATAAAGTCTTTCTGGACCAGAACACAAAACGTTAAGGCAGTTGCTGTGTAGGATGGTCTGTCTTTCATATTTGTTAATTGATACTCATTTTCTTTGTACTCCTTCTGAAAAATATATGGAAATGGTCATCTCAGCCTCATGTCAGGGGTCAGAAATCTTTTTTTCCCTGAAGTGTTATATAGTAATTATTCTAGGCTTTGTGGGCCATAGGTCTCTGCCTCTACAATATCTCTGTGGATGTAGTGCAAACGCAGATAGATATGTTAAATAAATGAGCCTGAACGTGTTCAATAACACTTGATTTGGGGCCCCTGAAATTCAAATTTATTTAATTTTCATATTGAAATATTTTTTGAATCATTTAAAAATGTAAGAAAACATTTTTAGTTTGCAGGCCATAAAAATGCTGGAGTTGGCTTCTGGTTTACAACCCTTGCTCTGTGTCATCTCCCAGTTTGAGTACCCAGCAAAAATTGAAATCATCTAACGTTTGAGAATGCCTCACAATCAATTGTTTTAAAACAGTATTGGATTCCCAGTTCTAGGTATAATATGATACATCACTTTAGGGTGGGAATTGGGGTTCTGCATTTTTTAAAAACTCTTTGAGAAAAATTATGAAGTAGTTGTGTGTAGGACTTGGGGAAATAATAGCTTCAATTACATTGTTGGTATAAGGCTTACTAAATTTAGAGGTAAAAATGATTGCCCTCTTGGGGCTGTGAAAAGACAGGAACGAAATCTAGGCAGATTCTCAAAAGAACATGGAGGAAATGGAAGAAATGATTAGTAACTGCAGTACACAGGACTTTTTTTTCAAGTATCTGTTAAATGGATCCAGATGATGGTGATGAACCATATTTAATTGAATTGACTTTTTCTTTCTCTGAACACAGTGCTGATAATACTTGGGAACCTGAAGAAAATTTAGATTGTCCAGAGTTAATTGAAGCATTTCTTAATTCCCAAAAAGCTGGTAAAGAAAAAGATGGTACAAAAAGAAAGTCTTTATCTGACAGTGAATCGGATGATAGCAAATCAAAGAAGAAAAGAGATGCTGTAAGTATAAAACATGACTCACCAGACTATCTTTTTGTAAAAGGTTGATGGATAATGGGTAGGGCAAAAAGGATATGCATGGTTTAGACTATACTGTGTGACTGTACAGTAAGTGTATGTGCCAGTGTTGCTGGCCCCAGGGGCTCCTATCTATAATCCTAGCACTCCTGGAGGCCAAAGCAGGTGGATTGCCTAAGCTCACAGGTTTGAGACCAGCCTGAGTAAACGTGAGCCCCGTGTCTGAAACATCGCTGGGTGTTGTAGCAGGCACCTGTAGTCCCATCTACTCAGGAGGCTGAGACGAGAGAATCACTTGAGCTTAAGCCCAACAGTTTGAGGTTGCTGTGATCTATGATGCCACAGTACTCTACTGAGGGTGAAAAAGTGAGGCTGTAGCTCAAGAAATAAATAAAATGTGCTAGTGTTATTTTTAATAGTTTCATGGATTTAATCCCTAATCAAACCAATCATTTGTGATCCAAGGCTAGAAATTTTAATTACAAACAATATTAAGATTAGAACATTCAAACACTTTCTTGGGGGATGGAGACAGAGTCTCACTCTATTTCCCTGGGTAGAGTGCCATGTCATCTTAACTCAGCAGCAATCTTAAACTTGCGCTCAAGTGATTCTCTGATCTGCTTGCCTCAGCCTCCCAAACAGCTGGTACTACAGGTGCCCACCATAATGCCCAGCTGGGGTATTTTGTTTGTTTTGGTGAGCTCAAGAGCTAAGGCAGTTCACCTACCTCAGCCTCCCAGGGTGCTAGGATTACAGAGCCACCGTGCCCATCTGACTGTGTTTCTCAGTAGTAAAACAATGGACCATAACAATAATCTATCCCAAAACTTCTGTTGTGATCAACGTAGTAGTGAAAGTAATCCAAATGGTACGTCTGATTTTAATCCATTAATGACATTTACCACCAGAAAATACTTTTGCTTGCAATATTTGTATTAAACAGTACTTTGAAGTTTATAATCCTTGATAATAAAAATTGCTTTCTTTTTTTTTGAGACAGATCACTTCGTGACAGAATCTCACCTTAATAGACTGCTGTGGCATCACATAGCTCACAGCAACCTGAAACTTTTGGGCTCAGTTGATCCTCTTGCCTCAGCCTCCATAGCAGCTGGGATTACAGGCATCTGCCACAGTCCTGGCTATTTTTAGAGACAGGGTCTTGTTCTTGCTGAGCTTGATCTTGAACACCTAAGCCCATACAGCCTGGCCGTCTTGCCCTCCAAGAGTACATGGATTATAGATAGGCATGAGCCCCACTGTACCTAGCCTGAGTCAGTTCCTAAGCTTTGGTCTCAGGAATCCTTTAACTGTAGAAAATTTTCGAGGGTCCCAAAGAGCCTATGGGTTATAACTATTAATACTGATTTATAAACAAATTTCAGACCAGGTACAGTGGCTCATACCTGTGATTCCAATACTTCAGGCAACCAATATAGGAGGATTACTTGAGGCCAGGCGTTTGAGACCTGCCTGGACAATATACCAAGACCCTCATTTCTATACAGAATTTAAAAATTAGCCAGGTGTGGCCAAGTGCAGTGGCTCACACCTGTAATCCTACCACTTTGGGAGGCTGAGGCAGGTGGACTCCCTGAGCTCACAGGTTTGAGACCAGCCTGAGTCAGATGAGACCCCATCTCTCGAAATAGCCAAGTGTTGTGGCAGGTGCCTGTAGTCCCAGGTACTCAGGAGGCTGAGACAAGAGAATCAACTTGAGCCCAAGAGTTTGAGGTTGCTATGAGCTATGATTCTATGGCACTCTACTGAGGGCAACAAAGTGAGACTCTGTCTCAAAAAAATTAGCCAAGTGTAATGGCATATGCCAGTAGTCTTAGCTGCATAGAAGGCTAAGGCAGGAGGATTACTTGGGTCTGAGGTTGCAACAAGCTGTGATATATGTGTATTCAGTTAAGAAACAGTAGGCTTAGCGCCCATAGCACAGTGGTTACAGCTCCAGCTGCATACACTGAGGCTGGTGGGTTCGAACCCAACCTAAGCCAGCTAAAACAATAATGACAACTGCAATAAAAAAAATAACCGGAGCCAGACGTTGCAGCAGTGCTTGTAGTCCCAGCTATTTGGGAGTCTAAGGGAAGAGAATTGCTTAAACCCAAGAGTTGGAGATTGCTGTGAGTTGACGCCACGGCATTCTACTGAGGGCGACAAAGTGAGACTCTGTCTCAAACAAAAAGGAATAATAAAAATTTGGAGCACATTACGTACCTTTTGTGAAAAATAACTTTTCCAAAACAAAAAATTGAGAAGAGTGGGAATTTACATTTTTACAAACCTCTTCAATGTCTGGTTAAACAGAAGGACAGCTCTAATTACACGTTTGAGTCTTGTGGTATGTTGTTTTGGTGGAGATGTATGAAGACAATTCAAAGTCACAGGTACACAAAAAGAGGGAACAATACAGAACTCCCAAATAAGGCCTCAGGGACCCCCAGGGGTTATCTGACTTGACTTTGAGAACCATTGGTTTATACTAAGTACTTATTTTTTTTTTGCAGTTTTTGGCTGGGGCCTGAACTCACCACCTCAGGTATATGGGGCCAGTGCCTTACTCCTTTGAGCCGCAGGCACCGCCCTATACTAAGTACTTTCTAAGGTTTCCTATAATTCAGATTAGTTGTAATACTGGTTAATCTGAGGTTTTGTTTTTGTTTTTGTTTTGAGGTAGAGCCTCAAGCTATAGCACTGGGTAGAGTGCTGTGGCGTCACAGCTCACAGCAACCTCAAACTCCTAGTCTTAAAGGATTTTCTTGCTTCAGCCTCCCCCCAAGTAGCTGGGACTACAGCTACTTGCCACAACACCTGCTATTTTTTGGTTGTAGTTGTCATTGTTTGGCAGACCTGGGCCAGATTCAAACCCACCAGCTCTGGTGTATGTGTCTGGCATCTTAGTCGCTTAAGCTACAGGCGCCACCCGGGTTTGAAGCAGGCCACCCTTGGTATATGGGTCCGGCACCTTAACCACTGAGCCACAGGCGCCGCCCTAGTTTTTTCCTATTTTTAGTAAAGGCAGAGGATCTCTTTTTGCCTAGGCTGGATTTGAACTCCTGAGCTCAAGTGTGATCCACCTCACTCAGCCTCCCAGAGTACTAGGATTATAGGCATGAGTCACCACTTTGGACCAATTACTATGCATTTTAATAGTAACAGATGTGGGCTGTTGATTTAGTCATTTGTAAGACAGAGTCTATTACCCAGGCTAGAGTGGTATGGCATCAGCCTTGCTCACAGCAACTTCAAACTGAAGTTCAAGTGATCCTCCTGCTTTAGTGTCCAAGTAGTACTATAGGCATGTTTTTTCTATTTTTAGTAGAGATGGGGTTTCACTCTTGCTCAGGCTGATCTCAAACTCGAGGAATGCTACTGCCTCAGCCTCCCAGTTGTAGGAATACAGGTGTGAGCCATTGCACCTGGCTAGAAGCTTTTTATTCAAAAGCTGTATATCATGAAATCAAATTAGAAGTTAATGTTCTTAGTTTGTTGTATGAAACCCTGTAAGTAACCAATCATCCTCTTCTAAATAGGCTGACAAACCAAGAGGCTTTGCCAGAGGTCTTGATCCTGAAAGAATAATTGGTGCCACAGACAGCAGTGGAGAATTAATGTTTCTTATGAAGTGGTAAGTATGCTCAGCTTGGCGTCTGTAGCACAGTGGTTATGGCGCCAGCCACATACACTGAAATACACTGAGGCTGGCAGGGTCAAACCCGGCCTGGGCCAACTAAACAACTGCAACAACAACAACAAAAATAGCCAGGTGTTGTGACGGGCGCCTATTGTCCCAGCTACTTGGGAGGGTGAGGCAAGAGAATCGCTTAAGCCCAAGAGTTTAGAGGTTGCTGTGAGCTGTGACGCCACAGCACTCTGCCCAGGGTGACAGCTTAAGACTGTCTCAAGAAAAAGAAATGGTAAGTATGCAGGTGTTATATTTTAAAGTAAGAATAGATATTTTTATAAATTTATCTATGAAAGGTTTTATAAATAGTTTTCATCAACTGGAGAGTAATCTGAAAAGATGATTCTGGTTACTTTTGATAATGACACAAGCTTTAGCAAACTATAGCATGTTTTAGAAAACTTAAGTTTATTGGAACATAACCACAATTAACATTTAACATCCCCCCACACACACACCTGAAGTACTTAAATACCTTTTGATTGCATTGTTATTTCTTAAATGAACAGTTGAGAGTTGACATACACAATTTAGATTTTTAACTGGATTTTTTTTTTCCCTCACAATAGGAAAGATTCAGATGAGGCAGATTTGGTGCTGGCAAAAGAGGCAAATATGAAGTGTCCTCAAATTGTTATTGCTTTTTATGAAGAGAGACTAACT